TCGGACTCCCATTTATTTCTTACAAGCCAATATCGTTGTTGCTATGCTTTTATTTCCAGTCTATACGAAAACACGTTTTCTCACATGCAAGTTAACCTTAAAGTAGGTTATCTGAGCTCGGAGCTATACAAAAATCGTTTGATGTCAAAAGCCGAAGAAACACATATTAAGCATTAGACCGTTGAACCGCCTGAAGAGTAGAACCTTTAAAAAGATTCTGAAAGGTCGGACTTGAGTCTAGTTGAGACACGCCCCTGTGCAGGTAAGAAGACGGCGCGGCTTTGAACCCCCAGGTGAGGTATTAGAACCGTTTGATGTAGTAAAAGCCGGTGACTCAAATATCCTGCCAATCCCTCAATCCGCCTCGCCACCTGATACCACCATGTAAGTCGAGTTTTGTCCGCTGAAAGCCAACCCGTTATTGTATCCATTCGGGCATTTTCGGCGGACAAAAAAAGGGCACGAGCCGGACGGAAGGTTACAAAGGGCGGCCAAAGCCGCGACTTACGCCGCTCAATTACTGAGCTCCCCTCCGTAAAGCGCGCCTTTGATTTAAGCATCTAGGATGAGACCGTTGGAAAGTGGACGTAATGCTTTAAGTATATCTTCTATCCGTCTGCGAAGCGAGTTTATATTACGGTACCCTGGTATTAGCCATGTTGTAGCAACCGCATCGCAGGAGGTATAGATGGGGATTTCCAGACATTGCAGATCTATGATCTAAACTCGCTCATTCAACAAGCAGATCTAACCCTCGGTATAAGGTCAACAATCTCCAATTAATGTAATACATTTTAAAATATACAAATGTCTCTCCTATAAAACCTTTTGCGTCGATGTCGTATTAGGTAACACTCGAGTTGCAGGGAGAGGCTTTGGATGTGTTTGTTTACATTCTTTCAAATTTGCACCCGGGGTTCAGTTGATGGCTAACCGACAATTAATTAGCCCGTTACGGTCCGGACAAGAGTTCTGACCTTGCCCTCGTGTTTTGACACAGTATCCGCCACCTCCGCTATTGGCTACATTCCGGGCTTTAGTTCTAGCGTAACGCGATGACAAGTTTCTGTGTCCTAGCCAGGGTGAATGAGTATGACACACAGGAGAAGACAAAGATGTTCTAGAGGTTCTTGTTGTATCAAAAACCTCGCTTTATACAGAACATGCTCAGGTCTGCATAGTCCATGTATATCGGAAAATCCAGAAACGTACGTTCTTGGATACGCGGAGACTATCCAGAACCGTGCCTGGTCCTAATCCTAATCCATTCTGGCTGAGAACTAGATAGGCACAGTTCTGGATACCACACCTATGATGTGGCATTGCCGCAACTTCAGACTGCATCGTTTTGGCATAGTGTCTACCAGACTCATCTGGTTTGGACAGCTGGTTGAAAATTGGCCAAAAAAGGTGAATAATTTGCCTGAGGAATTAGTCATCTTTAAAACTTGGCAACCTATGCCTCCTCTGGAAAGTCATTCCCTAAACTTGGCCATTTTTAAGCTGTTAGGCGAATCCGGGAGAACTACATTTGGAAGATGACCAGGAACATTTTGATGATTTTTAGGTTTTGCTCTTTTTGAAGGGAGTGTTTTACGAAAGAACATAATTAGTGGCAATTGATAAGTATGGGGATTACTTCGGAAATGAATAAAGATGGAGAGATTTAGAAGAAACCATACCAGCGTGAGAACAAGACAAGCAAGCGTGTCACACAAGTGGCACACAAGTAAAGTTGACAAACGGAAAAAATCGTTAGAAAATTTTTAAAACACCTTATGGATTGTTGACCGTCAAAGTTTATTCAATTGGTCAGATTTGAGATGCTGCTTGCCACTTCTTGAATCATTACCGTTTGCCTTACTCATTGATATTGGTACACCCACACGTATATGGTAAGATAAATCTGGTATTATCATGGAACGATTCCCAGTACTAGCCCTGTATGGCAACAGTTGTACGGTTGTGTATTTTGACAGTGATGTGCGTGGCCAAATCACGGACTTGGCTCTGACTGTAAACCAAGGGTCAGTAACCTACACCGCCCATGGAAACTTGTGACCCACCCACAAATCGTTCATCTCACAAGCGTGTGCTAATAACAAATAAGGCATTATTGTAAAGCATAACAACAACCTTCGAAAGATATACAAAACGAAGAAATTAATAACTTATCAAAGAAAATATGGTGGACCAGAAGGAAATTGTTGACCACATCATATCCTCAGTGAAGAAGACCAACATACCGCTCCGTGAATGTTACAAAAAGTTGTAGGATTTTTTCCCCGATAAATTTGTCACGTTGGTGATTCTAGGGAAGTAAATTTACCCATCTTATGAAATGATCTGCTCTATTATCCGGACCAGAACGAGACATTACTGTTGCCAATGGTATGCTACAAAAATGCTACCCTGGCGGGGTATGCCTGTCACGTGACGAACGCACTACGCCACGGCTTGGGAACGAGATCTGTTTTCAACAACAACGCGGCCCCCTGGTTGGTGTCAAGCCGTGCTCTAGGAACGAGATCTGTACTGGCCACCTTGGCCGTGACCATGTTTACATCGTGGTTTGTTTAGCAGAAACGTATGAAACGCTGTGGGGGGGGGGGATCAAGTATTTAACGTTGCCGATTGTTCAAATGATTGTATGCGGTCTCTACTCGCTCTTTCCTACACAGCAATGATATTACAAAATCCCCTTTTCTTCAACTTGAAGATGTTTATCTATATCTGACTTTGTTTTGCTTGCATACTGGAACGAATGACTAATATGAACTATTTTGTGTGGTCACTGCCAAATTGTTAAACACGAGTTCTATTCTTACATTTGGTAAGTACAGATTTAGCTTGCATCACCTAATACAATAGATCGTATTTCCACTCTTTTCCTATGGAGGAGGTGCAAAAAGGTTGGTTGTATTAGTGACGATTACAGGATGTTTGTCCGCACGTTGGACACTCTGTCATCACGCGATTGCGCACACTGGTCAGCGAGATTGATGATCGCTGTCTGCAATGTTGTGAAGGTTAAGTTAATGTTTGCGGTGCGACTAGCCCTGGAGTCGCCACTGCTAGACCTTGTTAGAGCCAAGTCAAGTTTCTGTTGTCTTTCAGTCCAGGCTATAATGAATTAAATTTATGGATGGCATCTTCAGGATACCCAAGAAACGTATGCGAGCGCGCGGCAAGAAGAAGCATGGCAATTAAGGAAAAAGAGGCAAAACTTTGTGATCGCGAGGGTTATAAAAACATTGTTCTGTGGGTATCGTGTTTCATTCGACATCATCACTCTTTCTTTTCAATTTGCGATGTGACTAGATGTCTCAAATGTTCACTTGTACTTTTTCGGACAGTGAAGGATAAAGAACCTAAAAATTGTTAAAATTGATACACCGGCTGATGTTATCCACAAAATCAAATCAGTGCAAGTTAGTCTGGTGGCTAGTGTGATTTATACGAAAATAAACTATTTTTTCTATTTTTGACTTTATCTCGTTTACTTCGTATCTTCGCTCTGACCTCATTCCATGACCTTCCAGTACTCGAGACGGTTGAACCAACATGGCGGCGTGATTACCGAGGGGGTGCGCGGGAAGTGGAACCCTGGGTAAATTTGCTCATTCCTGACCTTTGCCCTCTACGAAAAAATGTCTACCGTACTGAGAGCTTCATAATCCTGTTGTCTGCTTGTTTTAAACTATAAAAACAGCCTGACACCGAGTGTTTTATGGACACAGTGCACACGTCAGTGGCTTGACCTGGACTGTCCTGTCAGCTTGAGGCAAAATGATCTGGTAGTTTCTGACAACCCAGTCGTCCCTGCCTTGACTTTCTGGCTCAACTCATGACCTCGACGTTGGGAGGCGTGCCCCTGAGCTGATCTTAGAACCCTGTTGACGTAAAATATAGTCTTCACATAGAGACTCGCTTGAATGTCTACATTCCTCGTCTGGCAGGACGCCGAGTTTGGAGACAAGAGGCCAACAACCGATCTCTGTCTACCGAGAACGTTACTTTTTACGTCATCAAACGTCTTAGTCACTGCAGCCCATTTTTCAAGATTATTTCTAAGACGTAGTAGATTGTGTACACCTTAGACAGCAATGTTGGTCCTAGGCGTGGTAGTACAAGTCTCATGTGTTTTAAGAAGATACTGTCACGTTTTAAGATGTGAGGTTTCTGCTGATCGTTTCATGAGGTTAGAAAGTTACGGCTGCAAATATTAAGCTTGGGAATGATACTTCAGCGTACAAAAACATTGTGTAGGATGATTTTACACTTTAAGATGCCTATATGATAGAGTCATCAAAACAGCGATGCGCCAAGTGTTGAACATTTTCTGGATAATAGCTTATCTATGCTGCAAAGCAGTATCAGCTATGGACCAGATACTGTTGCGTTGATACTAGTGTGTTGATACTTGATTCGTTGCTCTATCCCTATCCGCCCAGACAGACGGGATCCGCCCATTCTTACTTGCGTGCGAGGCGCGGAGTTACGGCTCCTGTCTGGGCTGCGTCAACACACGTAATTTTGTCCGCGTCCAACATCAGACGATCTGCGGCTTGGTCAACAAGGCTGCGTCCCCAAATACCCCGGGTTGTCCCACCCCTCCATAAATTAGAATGCCTGAAAACAAGTCTGGACGTTTGGGTCGATCCATCTTCAGCCGCCCGCTTTATATTAAGTTTGAACTTTTGGCCCTTCGTTTCGACCTTATGATCTTTTCTTAACGTACAAAAAAAGATGTAACGTCCTTAAATTCCAAGGTCTTCAATTCCGAAATGTTAGAACATATATTAAAGCAGTTGTTTGTGACTTCTTGATTCCTATGTATTTCATTCATGTATATGTGTGTCGTCAATCAAATTCACTCACCTACGTATACTCCAGTGACTGATTATGTATGAAGAACTACGTCGCCACACAGCTACGTTACGTCACTGGTAACATTAAACATAAATAAAGAGTACAATCACACGGCACCTATGTGGAGGCAGCTCTAGATTTGACCCCGTGGGGGGTATTTATTATAAACAACGAAAAAGTACAAAGTTACGATGTGTGTGACACTATCTTGGCTATTCAAGACACTTAACCTTTCAGCTGACAAGCTACAGTTTCAGAAGAGCTGCATTATTTTCTTTAATAGATTGTGATATAGAATATGAAGCTATTATATAAATAAAATCTTGGAACAAAATAAAGTTTCTAACGAATATACATGTTTTCTTTCTTTTATAATACATCAATGTATATCCATCCTTCCATGGAATATCATTTTGTCAGAAACACCCAATCAACAACGTGGTTCACATAGTGTCCGTTTCTCTCCCCCAGGGCGCATGCCCCAACGACAAGGAGAAATACATCCCATAATATACAACTTTGCAGGAAACCACATTGGCCTCATAGTTTGCACTAAACACAAAAGCAGTCGCTCGGTATAAAAAGTACACCAGTCATTCATTTGTGACGTCCACATCCGGGATACAGAGAAGCCCATATCCGGGACACTGTGAAATCCACATCCGGGACACTTGAACCACATACGAGACTTGTACAACACAAAAACAACAACAAAAAATGATTATCCAAAAACGGACTTGTCACGTGACTTGTGGCTTGTACTATGATAGAATTAGAAGACTCAAGGCTCCTCAATACGTCGATGCAAACAAAAAACCAGTAGCTGCAAGAACCTGTAACTTCGTACGTTTCTATAGAATAACACGTTTTGATGCGCTCGTTTAAAGAAGAAATTTGTACATCTCTTTTTGGCGCCAGAGTTGAGTATGACGACGTCAAATGTAGATAAAATAACAATAAAACGAGCCTCAAGAGTTAAGTACGCCAAACCAGTTGGAAAAATGTAAGGGGGGAGGGGAGGTCAGAAAATGTAGTGAACTTTAGTATAGGGTTTCTCGAGTAAAATGGCAGGAATAGATCTACAAACAATGAAATGCCAAAAGTATGAATAAAAAATAGTAAAAACAAGATGAGGTCAGGACTTGGCATGAGGCTATTTTAGGGGTGTTTATCATGTTTGTTATGTGATTAACCAAAGTCTTATATACTCTTCACCCAATGAACAGCACATTCGGGCGCTTTGCTAGAGCTAAAAATGAAGTTAGAGATTCTCCTGCAGCAGTTTAAGGTTAGATTTCTAGGTTAATGGTCTATAACACACGTTCGCACGCATGCGCATGAGTGTCTGTTAGGGCGGTGCTCCTTTGAAACCCAACAAGTTCAAACATCCTGAGTCGTTTGCAAGATGGTGCCGCCCAAAACCAGCCCATTTTAGCTTCGTTACTAAAGGAAATCTACATTTTCAAAATATTTTCACATTTCTAAGATACTTTGGAACTTGAGGCGTGTTTAGACGATACCATTCTTGTAACGGGGGTGTTTGTACTTCTGTGGTTTTCGAGAAGGGCACTGATAATCAATAACTTGGACACATCATTTTGTCGTTAAAAATTACACCACAAAATCACACACAGCCGAGTAGACACTTTGTCTAAAATTTCAACAACCAGGAAGGAAAAAATAAATACTGAGGCATGGTAACATTTGTCGCATATACATGTGTACTATTCACACTCTCATCAGGCGGTTAGTATTCAAATTTTTTCTCTTAAGGGGCCTTGAAGCAGACAGACAGACATAAAAATAATTATGTTACAGCGATTTTTTTCTGAAAATTACACAAGATCATGAATCCGCCGCCGTCGGGTGTAGGAGCGTCGGTTCAACCAGGGATATTCCATATCTGTAGAAAAAAGAGGGGTACCAGTGCACCCCCTTCTGTAATGTCTGGTCATGCGATGGACCGTCCCATAGCGATGACGTCAGCTGGTAATACAGTCTGAAGGGCGCGAACACCCAGTGCGCAAGCGCCTGGCTCTCTATGAGAGCGTAGCAGGACATTGCTACATTGTCCACGACGACGGTGCCGTGTACAGTTAGTGGGGCGTAGGCGCCCTTCTCTTCTCTCATTGTCACTGAAACAATCTCCACTTTCCGGAACCCTCCTCCGGCACTTTCCGGCGTGAGGAGGAACTCCCCCGGCCGCACGTCACTCATGAACTTGGCGACCCTCCCTGCACTCGGATCACGTGACTCCGTCACAAAGACCAAGTGAGAGGGCGTGGCCGTGACGGTGGTATTCCTGTCCTCTGTATGGATGGTGTAGTATACCCAGGGTCCTCTAGAATCGCGGTCCATGAACGTCAGAACTTCGCTGAAGACGGGATGGCCTGCGCTATCCATGCTCAGCACTTTGTCGCCCGGTCTGACGTCACGCATTCGAATCCGTCTCCCGTCGTCCCTTGTTACCCATGATTCCTCGGGAAAGCAACCGCCCTGGGTCGCCGTTGTGTCGGATTCTGCAACGAAAAAAACATGATGGTGTTAGAATCTCCTTTTGCTGTATCATACACACATGCAAATGATAGTCACAACATAACATTGCTTCTTATTCTATTTTATAAAATCCTAATTGTCTAACTTTTCTCATACGGTACCGCAACTGTACAATTGTAACGTTATCTTTGATTATCAGTAATTTGGCAGGATCCGCCTGGAATACCAAACAGGGACTGCGGACAGATTCACATCTATCGATCTGTCGGTGTCTGGACCTTAAACAAGTTGGACCGAAGCCCACAGGGTCGACAGTGCTAAGTCATAAAGAAGATTGGATTATCTGATTCTATCTAGTGTATAGGGAACCTTGCGCGTGCAGTTTTCTGTTTGGTAGGCTAGATGGTATAAGAGGTATACACATGAAATACGAGATTATTATATTGCTACGACATGTTACTAGTCCGGATGATGACAATCATTCAATCAAACAATCCATCAATTAATCCATCAACCAATCAAAGCCCCGACAGTTGGTATTAAAATTGCCTGAAAACCTGGTGACAAAATAAGACATCATGACAATAAGAACGACTAACGCTTCTGAAATTGTACCACTTGTTAATAGGCACGGTTCTGTATACGGGAAGACTATCCAGAACCGTGCCTGAGCATGGTTGGTTGATTGTACGCTCAGTTATAGATACAACAGGACCCTTACAATCGTACATGCCGTCTGAAACGTCACGAGCCATATTTACACCACGTCACTTGTATCTATCTAATACTATTTGCTATGTAGGTTAACTTCTGAGAGTACAAATATTATGGCGTTAATGGAATGAGGTCGTGTCCACTATATGCACATCAGCAAATAAACCATGACCCAGTTACATATGATAGTAGCTTGTTTTTATATTTAGATTTTTTCTAAGACGAAGGACAACCCCAAATAGAGCTTCATGGTGGATGTTTTTGTTTGTTCTTACAAAGCTAAAGATCCTAGGATGGTGTTGTACAATTTTGATCAACTTAACATCATCCAACAATTTCATCAACATCAGAAACCGTTAGACAGACTTCAAAACACCGTAGTAAAATGACGAATTTGCTATCATGACAGAAAGCCTTTAAAAGAACATTCTAAGGGTGGTTAAGCTTTGACTTTGTTCGTTGGTAGAAGCTATTCCAATTTATACTTAATTCCTGAATCTATACTGTCCGTTTTTACAGGTATTGCTATGCCTCGCATTAACTTGTACTTCATTGATGGGTAATACATGTATAAACACCGCATGTGGTATAGTGGCTACGGCAACAGGAAGGGATAGGTCATGCTCAACAGGTGACTCACAGTAGAACATGTGTTACTTTACTATAAAGTAAAGATTAACCAGGCAGACTTCGCAACTACAATCATTCATGTTCGCAATCAATCGGTGTCTGGCCAAAGGCTGCAGAACACCTGTGTACCAAGGGGCTAACCTCCCATATAGCCCGCTCAACTATTTTTTTAAACCGTAGAACAGAAAAATCCGAACACGAAAATGCCAATTTTGACAGACAAGCTGCAACCCTTTCTCACTGTTCCAACCACTAATTGCCATACTATAATTGGTTGAACTGCTCATTATGAGGGACAGTTAGGATCAGTCTATAAGGTGACTCTGCTGGGGCAATCTAAATCGTCTGGCATGAGTAGAACACCAACATGTGGTATTACGTTAAAGTAAAGTTATCAACCTTTGTTTATCGGATAAGATGCTGTTGTTATAGCAACAGACAAGGTGTCAATCAGTAGGTCAATGAACTTAATTGGTATCCCCTAGCGACATGTTTTACCACAGCATCGACCGAGGATTAACCAGGGCTGTACCTTGCGTGTCCGAAAACGCTTCATCACACAGAGTGTAAAATTACTCAAGTACATCTAAAGAGCAGAAGAAAGGCAAGCGGCGGATAGCAAATACGGCCGCACCGTGCAAATCGTTTACAGAAAGAGTCGTCTTGACTTTGCGTTCAAAGGGCTCCTCGGTGACACGTTCCAAGTCAAATACATGGTCATGTGGACGGAATGTAAGAGCGAGGACCGCCTCTTCGCGGGTTGAAAGATTCAGGCGAGACACAGACAGCCGTGGAGCATATGAACAGCTATATACTCACACACACGCTGTTCACGTGTTACACATGCCTGTAGCAATCTACCGCACAACCGCACTGTTGTCTCTAGAACCGTGCTTCATCCAGAACCATGCCTAGAGGTACGCGGAAACTATTCAGAACCGTGCCTGAACCTAACCCTGACCCATTCTGACATAGAACTAGTTAGGTAGGGTTCTAGATACAATATGCCTGCAGGAAGTCGACACGACTTAGTTTGAAAGTAGATCTTTTGACTGTCATCTATGTCATGATTTAGCATCGGTGCACTCCTGTAACTAATGACCCGAATGATAGAGTAAAGGTAATCTTTCATTTGGTTTGTTTATCTCAAACATTTCAGTGTGTTAACAAAATATAACGCACAAAGTTGTGTCTATTTATATCAAAGCCTTTGAGAGGTCGTGTCTTTGGTTGTTTTATTGGCCAAATCTCAGACAAAAAACAAGTCTGAAATCCTGGCATTCAAGAGGCCCAGTTTGACATACTTGTGCTGTAGACCCTTGTGTACGTGTATGACAGACGACCAATGGGCTGTGGTCGCCATGTTGTCCCGATTGCCTTAAAGAGGACAAGGCAGAGTTATACAGTCCCATTCATGACCACCATGCCGGGGACATTGTTGGCAGCATGACCGTGGCCACACTGTCCCTCCTCCCAAAGGCTTTTGGGTAGAAATGAGGCATGGAGGCCGCCATTATGGTGACCTCCCAGGCGGACACAGGACGCGAGATACCGCGAGATAACGTTTCCATTCAGGCTCACCTCGTGACGAATTCCGGCGGGAATGAAAGGAAGTCGATGGCATGTAAAATGCCAAACGTTACATTATTACCTAAATGCCGTGCAGTTCCTATCACGTGAAGATACTTAGATAACACATGTTAGGGGAGGTGTAGGATTCACAAAAGCACCTGTTGATCTTGGCTACAGCTACACACAGTCGTCGGAAATGACATGCTGATGCTACATTTCAACATCTATCAATGGTTTCTGTTCAAAGGGTAATGAGGCAACTGTCGTCTTCATGTCTCAGAGTGTATTCTTACCAACATGTCAGCAGGCCTCACATTTTCAGATGTAAGAGTTGTCATTGTACGTTAACTAGAAGAGGTTGGCAAACGTTATGCAATGGCTGCTGAGCAATTTAGTTATCAACAAAAAGATTTACATCAAACTCAGACCATCCATCTGTTATTCTGAAAGCATTTTTAGGGTTATCAAACTGATAATTTTCTTATCTTTGGGAGTATTTTCTTATCATGTTACAAGATCTATCGTTACCTTGTGCATGTAAGGTCGAGTGTAATTTGACTGCACGAAACAACAGAACAGAAGGTCGTATATTTGATATGTCCTATTTTTTTCAACGTTCTAGATGCTAGAAGTCTTTAGGCCAAGTTTAAGCGGAGTCTATGTGAGCAGCAAAAACGTGGCGTGTTTTCCTTATACTGTATCAGTGAGTGCATGCCATGATGAAGGGACGAACCCGTCAAACAATGGTACAGTAAGCGGGGTGACGGCCCACCATTTGCAGGACGTCCCACCAACCTAAACAAATGTTTGCCTTTTCCACGGCCGTGAAACATCGGGCAGGTTTGAGAAAGTGTGTCGCCCCGCCTTCCCCATTCTTAGCGTGTGAAAAATAAGGCTGCATATCTTGTTAAAAATGAGGGAGACAACGGCAAACAATGGGCAGTCCACTCAATCAATGACTGAGATAGCTGACTTATCCTACGTCACAAAGCAGAATTTAAACATGGCATGTTTTTGCATAAACCCCGCTGCAGTAGTTTATGCAAAGGCTTAACATAAGTATCATAACCGGTTGTTTGATACGTAAACATTATATTTTGCTATAGTGGATGCAAAGCAAAAGTATTTAAGACTTTCTGATGTTTTGAGACCTTTCTAAACAAGTGCACAAAACTTCAATAACACCTTGTATTTCACTGTTCATTAAACATGGTAACAAAGAACGTGACGAAAAAACTGGACTGTTTAAATTTGTATGATGATGATGTGAGATGTTGACCTGACTTTACGATTGTTTATTGCTACCAACTGACAACACCCCGCGCGTAAAACCCGTGCCTTTTAACTCCATTATGCCCTAATTCCACCACATAAAACCACTCAGTAATTCCTTAAGTCGCCCGCTCATTTGGAAGTTTACACTTGACTAAAAGACCCCTAATTCTCGTCCCAGCGTGTATTTTATTGGCGTGTAACCTAGGAGATGTGCAAATGACGGGCGGCCATCTTGGTTGTGCCGACGTCTGTGAAACCGACACCGCGGCGTGCGGAGATTCCACAGCGTCGTGAGATCTTTAACGTTATTTACCCACTCCTCACAGAGCCCGGGAAGCTGAAAATGGTTCCCGAGTAAATAGAGAGAAGGTCCTCCCCAAATCTCAAAATCTGTTTAAGAAGGCCACTGGAGACGATACTTTCTGCATGAGTGAGGGAAGTACACAGGAGCACATCTTTGGTGTCTAACAGAGTCAAGGCACATCAACCTCTCAGATAACAGCTTGCTGGAAGAGTCGGAAATACAAATCGTGCCTTCGCACTCATTTGTCCTAGAGGTCTGAATATGAGCTCGGGGCAAGCCTCGGGGCGTGTTTGAGCAGTGCCGGCGCGGCCAGTGTTTGAAGCCCGGTCGCCATATTTGTTCAGGTGCCGCGCCTTGCATGTTTAATTTCTCCGTCAAAGCAGCGGAGAAGAGCTTGCAAACAATTTGTATAAAATTTCTGTCCCCCTAGCTCACTCACGGAACACACAGCATGGGCAGTGGCCGGTAACAAGGCCACACCTCCCCGACATAAGTCACGGCATGTGCACATGAAGCATCCGCCATCTT